TTTGATGCTGGTTTTTACCCTCTTCACTACAGACATAATTGTTCTTTGCCTCCTTTCCCACCCTCCCTCCCTACCATCCAGCATATGCCATTGCATAGTAAACTGTACCTGTGCAGCTGTTTTGTACAGAAAGAAAAAGAAGCTAATGTGTTGTAACACATTATAAATAAAAAACTAACGTGGTGCATTTGCATAAAGGATTTTACTGGTGTATGAGTAAAAAAAAATCCCAGAATATTATCCTATGGCACAGTTGTCAATGTCCCAATGGCCACATCTGGAGCAGACATGGGCACTGGTCCTAGTAGCTAAGTAGTGAGGAGACACTGCTGAGGAGCAGTGGTTTGAAGTTTGGTGTCTTTTGATGTTTAAACTCTAAATGTCTATTGTTATAAATCTGACAGCTCAATCAGCTTTCCAGTCCAACTCCAGAGTATAAACAGAAAAAAGTACCAGTTGATTTGCACTTTTTTAAAGCACTGCATTTATGAAAGGAGTATTCCAGTGTCCCCTCCCACACAAGTAATTTTTTTCAAAGGAGGAGAATCCATGATTCCGTTCCCCCTCCAAACTATGTCCCCACACAAAACAATCAAATCCCTTTGGAAGACCTCCCCATGCTCAGAGCCTACGCCTATGCCAGTGCTGCTCTGTAGATGTCAGTGGAATGTGAGTCATTCAGAGCTGATGTGCTCTTACCATGGGACTCATTTTTGGTTTCGGCCAGCAGACTGTTTTTATGGAGATGTCATTTACACACGCCTTGCCAGAGGTCCATGGGGCTCATGCCACGCCCCTCTACTCTCAGGATGTGTGGCATCCCGAGAGGTTGAGGTCAACCAGGAGCAAGTCTGGAGGCAGCCCCCTGTCACACCTTCAGCAGGGTAAGAATCCTCTCTATTCCCATTCCAGCAGCAGTCAATGGCTTTACAGGCCTAACCAATACCGTGGTAGACAATGTGTCTCCCAACAGTTTAAACATTGCCTGGCTTTTCCTCAGGCTCCTGAAGGGGAAGAAACAAATCTGGCAGCTCTTAAAGTCAGATACAACCCAGTTGCTAAGGTAACCCAGCTGATAAGAGCAGCACGACAGATAACACCAGGCACAGGACTCAACTGCCTTTAGATTTCAGCATGCTGTGGATTACTGAACAAGTCTTTCAGTCTCAGAGCTGGTACAGGAAAAGACATTGGGAGCTGGAAATCTCAGGGACCTGCTCAGCAATGTATTCCCCCTCACAAGAAATATCTACAATTTGTATTAGTGAGTTTTAAGTGACTGAATTGAAAGTGAGGTAAATACCACCATGTCATTAGCTTAATTTGAATGTTTCTAAGACAACCTCTATGTGGTTGATGAAACCAACCAGGATGAAACCAACCCTGTTGTAGTTGGATAGCCCCATAACTGCCTCTTGCACCTTGGGGAAGTACCTTTTACAAGCTATCAAAGCCCTAAAATCCTTGATAACAAAACCTTTGCAGTCTGAAGTTCATGGGGAGTAGAATTTCCAGTCTGCAGAAAGGCTAATTTGAGGTGCCCCTCTTGATTTAAACTGCAATTGTTAAAAAAAAAAAAAAAAAGCATCTATTTTCATCACACAGGGAAGAGTTATTCTTGGAGATAGTTTGTGGGGAACCAAGATTGACTACTGAAAAAAACTAAGCCATATACAGAATGCCTGCTTCCTAGAGTCCAAGTTAGGACCTGGCTGCCAAAAGTCCTGCTGCTTTGAATTAGCAGTTCCAGTAGGGAAAACTCTCCATTACACTGCTCTGCTGAACTCCCCTTTTGAGGGGAACTTTCAATATTTTTCATATTTTCACATGCTGTTAACTAATGCCTGAATTACTTAGTTTATCCCTTGCCTGGTGTATTTACAGGGGATGCAAACCTGCTTATTGGTCATCTCAACATGATGATCTCCAGTTCTGACAAAGTTATGCAAAAGACTTGTGCATATTGTGTTGAGAAGATAGCTAACCACAATTTTCAAAATCAACTCTGGCCAATAATGAATAATATATGTGACCTTAATGAGTAATATAAAGATACTTTATGCCTCTGGCTTTGCTAGAAATGTGTTAAATGGCCTTAGATGAAAAGATAATAAGACCTTCAACTTGAAATCCTTTGCTGTAAAAGGCAAAGTGCTTTACCGGTAAAATTAATATTGTGAAAAATGGTATTACATAAAAAGGTAGGAAAGATTAGTCAGCCAGATGGTATTACATAAAAAGGTAGGAAAGATTAGTCAGCCAGTGAGTAGCGGTCATTATTTTGTCTGACAGAAAGTCCAGAACTTCATTGATCGACCTCCTAAAAAGAGAATATTTGTGTATAGCAGCAAGCAAAAACATTATTTTCTTTCTCAGCATCAACTAATTGCACGCTGCATTTAAAACACATTCAATGTACAAGTGAATAAATTCATGAGGCTGTTAGGTGTCTTAAGTCCAGGGAAAATTTTTCTACAATATAAAACATCTGAGCTGGGAACAGAAGATGTTCTGGAGCACTGCCTAAGGTTTTAGTCAGCAGCCTACCAGGCTTGCCTAGCAGCTCCTCATCACTGCCTCCCCTGAAAACCACCTGCATGCAAGTGGCTAAGCCATTGGAAGTCAAGGCTCTTCTCACCAGGATAAACAGCTGAGTGCTTAGCTCTGGCACTGGACTATTGGTAAATCTTTTCATTGCCCAACCTATCAGTCATCCTCATCAAGAAACTGGAATGAATACCAGTGGTTTCTAAAAAGCCCCTTTAAAGAATATATCTGCATTGATGTACATCTGCATTGAAGAGCCGCGTCTCACACCTTTCATGGTCTCTCTCACACTGAAGTGGCGAGCATGGTTGGTCAAGCACCTCCATGTTAACTATGGCAGTAAAGGACACTGAGATGAAAAATACATTTATGATGACATACAAAATAAAACACTTATTGGCAAGAGCTGAGAGATGGGTGGGAAGCATGTAGAAAACTACTTCCTTTCCAGGGGGCCTAAGTATGCTGCCATTGAATTCAACAGCTCCAGTGAAGTTGACTTCAGGCATGAAGCATGGGCTGTCTAAATGCTTAGTAGTAATCCAGTTTTTATCACCTTTAAATTAGCTGTGAGCTCTTTAGAGGGTGTCTCTACAGTTCAGGGGCCATTACAATCCAACCAGAGAAGCAGTAGCTTGTGCCTGTACAGCAAATGAGGCATGTGAGCTTTTACAATTAAAGGACTTGGGCACTGATGGAAGTACCCTGGCCAATTTATCAGCAGAAATCTAATCAATCTAACCATGAGCTCTGTAATTCCCCAACCCTGGGCCATAAAATACTGCCCTCATCTGAACCAAATGCTTGAACACACTCCAGGTTTTTCTGGCATGAGATAATTCACCAGCTATTTCAGGTATGCCACCCTTGCTTGTGGGTCTCAGCCTGCAGGTGAAAGCACTAAGTCTGCAGATTTAGCCTTTGGATAATATTTTTCATGGCTACACATACTTGCCAAGCAACTGTGTTAGGCCCAGATTTCCAAGACCTTGGGCTCTGTTGCCCTGCAAACAACATAGGGATAGAAAGGACATGGGAATTACTGAGACTGGTGTCACTGGACCCACTGCACAACATGCAGAAACCAAAGATTCCCAACTATTTAAGAAAATTCCTAAGAGTAAAGTAAAAAAATGACACCATTACATACTCTCTACATTTTTTCTTACATTTATTTCAGACTAGGCTCTATTCTTAAAGAATGTTTTCTTCTGAAAAAAAAAAAAAAATTAACTGCCTTGATCTCCCAACAACACTTTCTGGGGAGGAAATCTCCAGTGATGCGACCAGTAGGGTATTTTCTCTGCCATAACTTTAAGTATATTTATTAACTTGCTGAGAATTTTGTGGGTAATAAAACTCAAAAGGAGAGACAAATGTCAGCCTGGGAAAAACGTCAAAGGACTAATTTCTCTATCTCATCTTTCTGTTAGTGAAAGGATCATGGTCCTTGCTGTGCTTGATCTTGACTAGATAGTAAGATATGAATCTTTGGAATTTAAAGTGGCAAATCTTAAGAAAACAGAAAATCTTCCTTATTAAAGCTGAGGTAGCACCACATCTGCAACAAATTTAAGGCATGTAAAGACAAAAGAGAACAAGGTGTTTGTAGCTCTGTGGACATGTGTAATACCTCACAGGAGCTGGGGATCACATCAGGTCACTGCTGACACCATTGCATGGAATCTTTCTGTGTGTGGTGTGTATTTACATGTCTCAAAAGAAATTGGTTACTGGGGCATTCAGCATATTTCTGAAATGGTTGTATTCCTCTTCCCACTCTCCCTATTTACAGTTCCCTTTGGAGTACAAGAAACATTTTCTGTAACCTCAGCTTCCTGATTCAGCTGTTGTGATGTCAGTTATTTACGATAACAAAAGTGAGACAATGCCTGTGGTTTGTGTGGGACAAAGCCAACCTTGTTGCTGTAAAAAGGGACAATCCTGATGTGAGAAGTCCAGGAAAGGCTATGAAGTAGGACTCTGAGGTGGTGTTTCATTAGTCCTGCCAACTTCATAATGGGCTTAACACTGCATTATTTCAAAGGCCACTGACAGAGGGTTTCTTAATTTCCAGAGGATTGGACACTAATGTGAATGGAACTCTTGGAAAACTCTCTCTTTGCAGAACAAGGCTTCAGAGATAGGTATCTTGGGAAATTAATGGATTGCTAGTGGGTGTAGAGGTAGCGAGCGTCAGGATGCAAATGTTTCAATAGCAATTACACATTCTGTGGTCACAGGCAAGTCATTCTGCACCTCTGCTTACCTGTCATGAAACTCGCCTAGTAATACTGCACTGCCTAAGCCACAGATGTAGTGAAACTTGCTCAGTGCCAGTAAACTCTTGATGTCACAGAGTACAAAAGGAAAGAAGAAACCCTTAAAACAAAGCATGCTTAGTTATGAATGAAGAGCATCAGCTTTGGTGTAGCCTATAGAATGTCCCTTACCTGCTATCCTGCCGATTGGCATCGCGTGGTCCTCGGGAGGGGAGACAGACACCATGATGTGGTTCATGTAAGCTAGCTCTTCTCGGTGGGACAGGTTGATGGGCTTGACGTCCCTGTGCAGCCCATCCTCGGACAACCTTGGTGGTTTGAAATCGGAGTGCCTGGGGTTCAGTATCAAAGGATGCATGATAGGGCTGGGCATCAGCTGGATGATCCTGGTGTTCTCCTGGCGAGGGCTGGAAGGCTTCTGGAGCACCTCGGAAGAAGGCGGGCAGTGGTTGTTTTCTACTGGGGACACTGAGAGAGGATAGGACTCCTGCTGGTTGTTCTCATACTGGTGCCTTGTCCCTGGCACTCTGTCGGCTGGGGACAGGCGGCGGAAGGTGCTATCCATGGGGGACTTGAGCGGCCGCTGCTCGGGGTCCGGCGATGGGCGGTGGTTGTTGGTGACGGGCGACCGCGAGCGATGCAACAGTTCAATGGTTGGGGTGCTGTGGTGGACTGCTTCTGCAGGTGGCCTCGAAGGTCTCTGCACAAAGCTATCTGTGGAGAAAAAAACAAGTCCCCAAAATACAGATTGTCTGTATTGTGATCAAGGTATAGGATTGACTGCTGACCGCTGGCAAGTGTTTATTTGTGTGACCTACAGATGCCCAATAAAGTACTGCATAAATGCAGATGGTTATTATTTTTACAGAGAATGAAAACAGTGAAAACAATCTCCCTCCCCCACCATGTAAAAACAGTTCCTTGGGAAACACACTAAGAGAAATCCCATTTTGAGGAGCTGACTGAACACTTGTGAAGAAAGTAAGATCTGACTGAGCTGTACTGTGTATCTGCACAATTTTTTTGAAATTTATCTCCTGCCATTCATGTCTCTCTGTGTCATTCTTCTTACTACCATGATGAGCACTTCAAGGTAGAAGGGAAAGAAAAAAAGGGAAAATGTCTCCAGGAAAATACTGGGTATTAAGTTTTAGATGGTAGAGGCTTAGGTCAAGGTAGAGAATAACTCCGTCTGAAATATGAACTGGAAAAAAAAAACCCTACTGGTAGGAAGCTCTTTATGAAACCCTATATTTTTATCCCTGCCTTAATTTTAAGAGCATGTTACATCTTCATAAGGACATTTTCTTCTTCTTTTACTTAGTCTGTAGTGTCTACTGATGGATTGCCCCATATAAGCACTTACATGTCTTCTGCAGGAGGACTTCTAGCAACACTTTTGCATGAACACACTTTCCCAGCTGTGATGCTTAACAGTAGTAGGGAGATAAATCACTAACAATCCTCTCACAAAATTAAAGTTTTTGCCAGTGCAAACTTTCAGGTTAGCTAAGGCCATCAATTTTGACTCAGGAAACCACTGACAAAGAGGAAAGCACCACCAGAGCTACAGTGACTAACAGGTTTTTATCAGGAAAAACAAAGATCAAATTTCAGTGCTGTTTGTTGAAAGCCTTGGGTGATAAGAGGAGGAAACTTCTGGGTACATGTCAACAACTGAAACAAGTAGCTGCCTATTGGAGGCTGTTTGTTCACTCCATTTTCTCTGAATATGAAATGATTCTCTTGCCCTCTTGCCAAGGCAGTGATACCTGTTTGAAAACCCTGTTGAGGTGAAGACTAAAGAGCTCCTGCTGCTCTGGAACCCAGGCAGGCATCAGGAGATGGATCAGCACATACAAAGGGAAAGGCTTGAACAGCAAAAGCTCAAGTTCTGAGAAAATGCAGTGCCAGGCAGTGACATAGCATCTGTACAAGAACACTAAAATCTGCAGGAAAACCTGAAATTTTAGGCAGAACCTACATTGCTCTAGAATACTTATTAAACACACCTGTGGCTCCAGACAAGAAAAATGCATTTGTAGGGCTGTTCAAGATACTCACAATGGAACAGCTGGAGGACATGAAATTCCAGAGCTATATATTGTTCTTGCTTAAATCCTAACATTTTTAAATACAATCTGGCCAGAAAATGTGGGATAGCCCAAATGAGGATCAAAGAAGAAAAATTTACAACTGTACATACCCTGTCTTTCCTTAAAGTCCTCTTTCTTTGCCACAACAGAAAAAATATCAACTCCCAAATTTTATTCAGTGTCCTATCTTCTACAGACCATCCACCCCCATCCTTGTACATTCATATGCACTGTGCTCATTCTTGGCCTGTAAATACAGACCAGAATATTGTGTTGTTTGTCCTATTTATTTAATGCCTCGGCTGAAGGGAGCAACTTCAAAGTAGAAAGGAATACCCTGCTTTTCACCAAACTCTCTGAAAACATTAGCTGGCTCTGACAAAATCTAAACAGGTGTTCCTACCTGTCTGCTTCCAAACCATGGTGATACTGAACCTGGACAGAGAAGACAGAAAGTATACACCAAGGAACTCTTGGAAAAGCAGGAAGAAGAAACACCACAAATGGATGCACACTAATGGTTCAATTTCTTTCAAGATCTTTCTCTTAAAGTACTTAACAAAAGAATCCCCTCCTTGCCAAAGATGCTGTTTGCCATAAAGTAATTCCAACTCTGCTCTAAGCAGGACTGCCATAAATTACCCTGAACGGAATAAAATCCTCATCACATTCATTCCTTGGCTCATCTGATGATTATAAGTTGAGCACATATGGTATGTAATTTCTGGCAGGCTTAGATTGACTCTGGACCTTTATTCCAAATGAACAAAACTCTTGAAGACAAAGCTGTGAAAGGAAATTCACCTCCCAGGAAATTTGCTGACCTATCCATACAGGGATGGGTGGGGCTGCACTTTGAGAGTGAGCAATTGCTGGCATGACAGTCCCAAAGATTGGCACTCTCTGCTTACCCATGAAAGAAGTGCAGGGAATGCCAGTGTCAGCTTCCTGCATGGCATCCCATCCCATCCAGTGACTCAGAGCTCCGTCAGAAGGACCGCTGGAGATGAAGGTAATTCACTTTCCATTGCTCATCCCTCTGCAGGGACAGAGCCCATTCCACACCAATATCCTGAACTGCAGACAATTGATTTCTAACAGCCAAACCCCCTTTGTTTAAGCCTAGCAAGAAAGCACTAGAGGGAAAGCAGGATCATAAGTACAGTCCATTAGGAAACAGGCAAAAGAGTAAGAAAATGGAAAAGATCACTGGAGTAAGGAGAGACTGTGATAAAGACACACCACTTGTGAAGTTTAGCCACTCAAAATGGGGCCAGGGTAAAATCTGTCCCCTCTGTCACAATCTGTGAGTTAGCCTGGGTTAAGTTCTGCTCCTCACATTCATTCTCCTTTTTTTTAAGTAAGTTGTATTTTGCTGAGGCAAAATGAAAACTCAATTGTGATAGCTCCTCCCAAGTGACTTTGTGAAACAGGAGGTAATGTCAAAATAAACAAATTCACCTGTCTGTAAATTTTGGACACAGAGATTTTTTGATTGCTCAGTCTTGCGGCAGCCAAGCTGTAGTTTTCTTTTGCTTATTGTGAAGTTCCTCTCCCAGCAAACCAATAACTAATTTTTGTCATTATAAAGAGAAGTTTTAAGTAATAGCACAGAGTTTTCTAAGAAAAGCAGTGCTACTATCAGCAGCCAGAGTATTGTAAGGAAGAAATCTAAGTTGTTTCTTGATCACTAGCTTGAGGAAAAGACTGAGATTTTACTAATGGTCTGAATACAGTGGGCAACTGTCTCTTGCACAGCTCTGCCAACTGAACCTCATCTAACCTGGAATATTTACACAGCTGGGTGGAAACACTTTGCAGCGTCCTTATTCCACCTGCTGCTGTCCTGCTCTTGGCTTAGTCCCAGGGTCTTGCTGGTGCCATTTGACTCTGCTACCTCAGACTGGCCACAGGCAACTTGTACAGGTCTGACAGCACCCCTGAGTCTTCTCTTGCAATCCCATGTTGAATCTTGAAATAGATTCATATCAAGTAGAATATTTCACCTTTTCTCCAGTAAGCAGAGACCAGGGTTACATCCCAAATCGCTTATATTCTCTTCTCTTGTTTCCTCAGAAAAGGAATAACTACTTTTCCTAGTAGCACTTTTAAAGTAACTACTTTTTCCTAAAAAAATTTCAATTTTTAAATTGAAAATTGAATTCATTTTTAATTGAAAAAAAATTAGTTCTGCCTGATGCTGTCATGGAAGGTATCTCTGAAAAAGCTTAAGTTTTACATTTTTATATGATATACCCAAGAAATCCAAGAAGTACTTCAGTATGTGTATTTTTAAAGAAATTAGAACCTCAATTTTCCAGTGAAAAACAACACACTCCCATTTTGCAGTAGAAGAAGCCCAAATATGCAATTTCACAAACTTAAATATTCTTTTTTCATCACCTCTGATAGACACAGTATGTGTGCACACTACTAGACCTAAGCAAGTAATTCTGGTAGTAAAAATGAGAGAAAAGCTGCAGAAGCCCCCTTCTCTCACCAGGAATTGCTCAACCAGCCCAACAGCTGAGCAAAGTGATGGGCTCAGTGCCAGGAACTCTGGCATGATGCTCTGACAGCCAGCTGAAGTGACTGGGAGCTGGATATTCCCCTCTGAGGCTGCCCTCCCTTGCTCTGCCAACAACTGCATTTAGCTGCATCTCCAGGATACTTAAGTGCACAAAGCAACTTTGTCTACCTAACTGGGTGTGAGGAAAATGAATCAATAGGGTCAATAAAATGCTCTGCTTTTTAATCTCTATCTGACATAGCTTTTAAAGGTGCTTTGGAAACAGAAAAAAATAATAGAAGATAAACAGAGAAGGGCTTGTTGACTCACTAGACCATTTGATTGTTTCAAAGCTGTGGAGATAGAGGAGAGAAGCTTTATTTAAGCAACTTTGGAGCAAAAAAAGGACATAATTCCTACTCGCCTCTGTAATGGCAGCTCCTGTAAAATGAGACAGAGTTACCTTCATCATGATTGTGGTGCAATGTGACCTCTGGCTGAGTATGGATAGAGTTTCCAGGATGGAAGAAGGGTGTGAAGAGCATATGAGCTTTCCTCTGCTTCAGGATATGCTGAAGGAGTTCATACAAAACATCACCTGAAAGACAAACAGCAGGAAAAAGGAAATGAAAATGTAAATAACTGATGAGAAGACTCATTTAGCCATCTGATGCATGAATTCATGGCTCCTGGGTGTTATTTTCAGACCCAAAAATACTAGCAGTAAAATCCTGCACTTCTATGCAAAGTTCTCCTCTGAAAGGAAAAAAGGCACATCACACTTCTGAGTGTGACTGTGGCAAAACAGAACGACATTCCCTGGCACCACAATTGTATCTTTCCTTAATGGAACATAACACCACAGTATCCAGGAGACCAGTGGACTAACTGCTTATTTTGTGCCTTTTATAAATTTCATCTCATATGGATGACCTTATTCCAACATCTACAAAAACACATAAGGTACTTTTGCATTTGGTCTGCTGTAACTGGTTGCACATTTCAAAGTGAAATTGTACATACAGGATAGGAAGCCTCTTGACTTTTCATTCTGCCAGCTCTTTTGATTGTCACTGCTCATATTACAGAGGAACAGGCTGCAACAATTGCATATTATCTGAAAATGAAGTTAATGAAGTTTCACTTAGGAAACCTTAGATTTTCTGGGAGAGTTTTCTCAAATATGAGGTTGTTTTAGTAGTTGTTTCTATGAGATTGTAAGCTGTGTACCACTTCTCCCTTGTCTCTGTAAACTACCAATATTCTAATTTGTGGGCAACTTGAATTTCTTGGTGCGAAACAGTTAAAGCCATACTGCTTTCCATAGTTCAGTTTCCTTTATTTTTAACATCTAGGCTGCTTTTACTGTCTCAGCAGTGACTTTAGGGCATTTTTAAAAGGTGATTGCAATATCTGAAAGCCTAATTAAAAACAAAGCCTTGAGCACCCAGTTACATGAAAGTCTAAAAAGTGATTTTACCACATAATTTCCATCATTGAATTCAACAGTGGCATAATCATAAATAACTAGTGCTGTAACACTCAGAGCAATAAGGTAGCAAATTTGTACCTCTTTTGATTGGCTGGACAGGCTAGTGAAAACATCCATAAAGCTGTGTGTGTTTTTGGGGTTTTTTTAACCTAATGAAATAGCTGAGACTTCTGCATCACCCATATGCAGCAATGTTAAGATGGTGAAAAATGTTTTCACCATTCCCTCCCTTCCTTGCCTGGGCAGCCCTGAACAGAACAGTGTTGGGGCTGTGAGCCCCTTTCTTGGCAAGGCTGTGGGAGTGATGCCCTTCTCCTGCTTTTAACCACGAGGGGAAATTATACAGCTTTCGTGTGGCCTCAGTCTGGAAAAACTTCATGCCTCTGTGGCAAACATTATTTCACAGTTCTTAAATTTCATGTACAGTTAATTCTGGGAAATGCTGAGGTAATGTCCTTTACCTACAGTTATCTCAGCTTGTAGGGACTGACTCAGATATCCTCCACAAGGTTTATTATCAGTGGGGAATACCTGCAGGGAAGGAAGAGACAAAAGGCAAGGGAGGAGGCCTTTAGCTGGGTTATTTAGTTCCAAATTCAGCTTAACCTTCTGAATAAAGTGAGATTTTGCAAGTCAAAGGCTCTTCTTTGGGAACACTCTATTTCCAGCCTAGAAACATTTTTAATCCTGCTTATTTCAAGTGCCCTCACAGCACAACTTGCAGTCCTTGCCCACATCCCCGCTTTCAATACTCCTTTTTCTTCAAGCAGGGTTACTTTTTACACTCCAAGTGGTGTACCAGAATTTTAAAAAAAAAAAAAAAAAAAAAGAAGACATTTCTAGGCATTAGTCCTCATTAGTGTATTACAGTGACAACAGACACTGATGTTTTGTCTTTTCTTCCACACAAAATTAATCCTGAATTTGAAGCACATGCTTAAAAAACTTTATCTACACTAACATAGGCAACATTTTGTGAGGCAGATTCTGCAGGTGGAGAGTGGCCAAGCAGGTTGGTGCAGAACCAGACCCACAGCTTGATTATCAGCTGGATTCCAGCAGCACCAACGATACTCCTGCACCTTGTGAGCCTTGCACTGGAAGCCTCCTCATAGCAATTCTGTCACCACTTGGCCCAAGCTCTTTAATCACCTACAGTGATTGAAGTGCAAGCCTTTATATTTAACAGGAGTACCTCGTATGGTCACAAAAAACAAGGCTCACAACTCATATTTAAACATCCCTGACACAGGAGGGCAAAGGCTTACTCTGACTGCATAACTGGAGCAGACAGAGTACAGGCGATACAAATACAGGCAGGCAACACACACATTTCTGAATTTCCTCTGTGAATAAATGAAAACATAATTTGGGCAATAGGCAGACTGATTCACACACCTGTCTGTGCTGAGGGCTGGACTCCAGCACATGTGAAAATACAGTAAAAAAAGCAAAAAAGCAAAACCCACAGGGGCTGTTAAACAGAGGCAAAGTCCCCAAGGAAGGAGTTTTGCAGTCACTTTTAGCAACAGCTCAGCCAAGGCAACTGAGAGGCCAAATGCTAATATGGACTGCTTAAAGAGGCTGGAGCACTTGACTGACTTGCTGCTGTAGTTGGGTCTGTGAACAGATAAGCCTTTACAAGGAAGAGCTGGAAGTCACAAAAGGCTGCCAGAGCAGCTTGCTTTCTGGGAATTCTGCAGGGAGTTTTAACTATAAACAGGTTGGATGTTTGGGTTTGAATGTGCATTCAAATATGCCTACAACTTAAATGTATCAGGATTTCCTTCTCTATTTGTCCTTTTTGTCCTTGCCTCATACAAGTGTCTCTGTCCTCCCTTTACCCTCCCTTTCCCAGTCCACCTCAGCAAAGGTGACCATTTCTTCCTCTGACCCTCTTCAGCTTTTGTTGCAGCTTCCTCTCTCTTTGCAAATCACAGCTTCTGTAAATAATCCTCACCTGAATGAGGGGACCTGTATCGAAAGTCCTCTTTGGTCAGGAGCAGCAGAGCTTTGCCGTTCATCTCGAAGGTGCTGCTCTCAATGGGCCGCAAGGAAAATTCCTTCTCCGCCCACCGGAGCCACTGTGCCACATCTTCCCTGCTCCAGTAAACCGGCTGCAAACCTGGGCCAGAAAGAGACCACAGTTCTGTTACCAAAGTGAGACCAGGCACAAGAACACAGGCAGACATCACTGAATTACCCCCTTCTCCCCACAGCACAACTTACAAAGTCTCAGGGGAAACTGTAGGAGAGCAATGCAGGGTTGGTAGAGGATTACTCCAAGCTGGACTGCAAAATACTCTGGCATTTTGATTTATCTGTGACATATTGAGAACCAAAAACTGACTCAGCATCCTGAAGAAAGCTCGCAGGACATTATTTCATTCCAGGTTTCCACTGTGCAAAAGGATTTTCCTCCACGTGCTCCTTCTGATGTGCTGAGCAAGCAGCAGGAAAAGTCCTTCGTGCCACCCATCCTTGGTGTGTATCCTTTCACAGAAGAGAGGTGTGCTCTCTCATCACACCCCTTGTACATTCATGGATCAAGAATAATGAAAAGTTGTCAAATGCAAGACAGCCACAGCTCCTTTCCAGGTGGCTGGGGTGGGGTCTGCAAGGAAGGGCAGCTTAAATATAGCCTCTGTATCAGTGTGATTACCAGCACCTGTATTGAGAGAGGTGCATTCACACAGGCCTATTCCTCCTCCAGGGCCATTATGTGAGCTGGTGCCATTCCCACACTGGAGAGGAAAGCCAGGGCCAAGACTGTGCCACTTTTGTCACTGCTTTAGCCTGTGTTTCCTGTGCAGCAATCAAATATTACTCATGTAACTAGGCCCATGTAAGAGAGCATAGCCTATTTTAGTAAAATAGTAGGGATATTTGGTTTGGGGACAGATTTTCCAAGGAGCCAAGGAAAATCTGGCACTCCCTTTCTGCCAGCCAGCTCGTACAGTTTATACAGCCTAGGCTATTGTGTTTACTCACAGAGGCCCAACCACATTACCATCAAAGACATTTTGCCTGCTACCTTTATTGGGCCCAGGCAGAGAAGCTTGGGAGGTATGACAATTCAGTATCTGTTCTACACAGAAATTTCAAATAGCTTCCTTCCCCTGGAGAGAAGGCAGCACGGTGAAGAGCTGTTTATACCCAAGTAGAGAGATTATCTCCAATCCAATGGGCGATAAAAGCTTTATTTTCCTTCCCCCCTCATGACATGATTCATTGTTTGACTTGCTACAAAGCTTACCCACTGTGCATAGGAACATAAAATTTGCCATATCTGATCAGATCTCTGGTATACAGCCTCTGGCAGGAGCCAATACCTTATGCTTTAGAGGAAGATGAACCTCCCTTCCTTGTATTGCACCTGGTTGATTTACGCTGCACATGGGAAGAAATTTCCTTCCTGGCACACCATTCTCTGAGATCTGATTACCCTCCTCCTACCAAGCACTAAAAGAAGCCTGAGAGAGTTGTACCGCTCTTGTTTTAGTTTGGTTTTTACTTCTTTAACAGATAGGCAACCTTTTATTTCTGTTTTACAAGAGGTAACATGAAGTGAATTGCATTCTGCTGCTTTGCCAGATTCCCAGACAACGGCTTTGGAAAGTCCCAGAGCCACAGCTGCATACAGAACTGAATCTCTATCAGAAGAGGAATTGAGATTGTGCCTGAAAAAGGGTCAGAGCTGACCTGAGGAAGGGATGCCTGCATGGCCATAGCAAGAATTTCCATCAGCTTTCAACTGTGGCATACTATCATACTGTAGAAACAAGTAGTAGCCTTTAATTATTTATGAAGCAAATTCTATTCCCCCTATGAATTAAGGACTGCTTATTGAGGTCAGAGTTTTCTGTAGGATCTTTATTTTTGAAGGGACTGGGGTAAGGTGTAGATTTGCTCAGACACATGGAAACTGTCATCTAAAATGCCAGAGTGAGGTTCATCTTCTGCTGAATAAAGAGCTATTTCTGCAGAAAATACACTCCAGACCCCAGGCTGTTGCTGTAGCTAAAAGAGAAAGGTGAGACGTGATGCAGGCAGACCACAACATATGAAAGGGTTTTACAAGACCATCTGAGGAGTGCTTGAAATGCTCATGTGTGATTTTTTTTTGCCTCCCCCTTTGCCATGCCATGCAAGCAATAAATTGCCCAAAGGAGAACTGTCATGTAGAAATCTAACTGGCCTTCTGATGTGTACTTCACCTGATGAGGCATTCAACAAAAGAGAACATCACTGTGAAAATCAGGCTGACAAGAACAGAGTTGTACCATAACTTCAAAATGAGGTGTGTGCTCCCTTACAGATAACAATGTAATAAATAAATCACTCTCTTTAAAATACAGATCAACACTTCCCACCTGCAGGTGACAGTACATTTTTGCCTTTTGTTCAACTAGTACAAAAGTACCGTGTCCAAAGAGAGCTTTAGATTGATGAGTGCTGGACCTAGAACAGCCAAGAAAGTTACACAGACTGGGACAAGCCCCATGAGCTGTGCTGGCAGCTCTGAAACACACCCAACACTTCACACTGCAAACGAGGTCTCTTGCTGGGTTTCAGTAGCACCCCTGAAACTGGTGAGAAAAGCCCCAGAGTAATATGACCTAGGACCCCTTGGCTTGAAGTTACTGAGAATCAGCAGGCAGCCAGCCTAATTCAGTTTGGCTATGGCTAAACTGAGTGGGTGGATATGCCACATCACTCCACCCCTGGGGTGATGCCATAATTAAAATACTTACATTGCGTTTGGAAAACATAAGGTGCCATAAAACAAGTAAACTGCTTTTCCCTAGATGTATTTCTTATTCTCTGACTTCCCTCCCTTCCTGCCCTGCTGCTTTCCCGGGAAGTTAGTTTCTCAAAAAAACATGCCCGTTTGTTTTGTGAGGCTGAACCAGTTCAGTCACAGGAGGCTTTTCTAGGGGTGCACAGCAGTGTTGCTAAAAAGTGCTTCAGAAACTGTCATTTAAAAAATAATTCTTTCATGAGCAGTACAGTGTCTACTAAACTTGAATGCCACCTTCTTTGACCCTTCTTAAGAAGAAGTAGTTGGTTTTGTGAAAACAAGGTCATGAGATGGTTGGCTTTGCAGCTGAAGGGATTTTACAGCACAGTGTACATTGCTATCAGAAGGTAATGAAAATGCTTTCCTGTACTGCCCATGGAAGAAAACTTAATCCCACTTATACTATTTTTCTTCTTTGGATGCTGTTTCTTATTTTCCTCTCTCCACCGTCTTTTATTGTCATGCCCATAGTGGAGGAAAATGCGCTTTTTTTATCTCTCTGGTTTTATTCTCTGCAGAAGCTAACAGCACTGTCTTTTAACTAACAAAGATATTTACCAAGCAGAATAAAGTGGGGAAAACAAGAGCTGTGTTGCAAAACGAGGGCAGAGTTTCGCCTGTTGAACTGACTGCTAAAATCATGGTGAAGTTTTTGCTGTTTTCACTAGGGGCAGATCAGACGTGGGGGATGCTGCCTTTCTCCCAGCCTGCCCTTGGTGGCCATGGACTTCTCAGGCTGAATTCTGACCTAAGCATCAGACCTGGCTCTGCTCCCAACTCTGCCTTTGCGCCTCTGGTTGAAATCTGGTAAGCAGTCCCCATCATGCTCTCTATCTGTGCAGTGCAAAAATAAACAGCTACCAAAACTTCTTAAACTCAATAGCTGAAAGCAGGTTAGATAAAGCCGTGCAAACCATTAAAATCTGGCTCTGTGAGATCCAGTGTAGTCTCTGTCTTCTGTCAGTTTCCAAGCATCACCTTCAGTGGTGTAAAATACAGTAATTTACTGGCATGTTTATAAACTGACAGCTTTATATGCATTAAACAGGGAGCAAAATCCATGCTCACCTTTTCAACGCTGCAGGGTGATGCACTGGTGTCTTAATAGATTATCTACTTCTGCAGCACACTCCTCACCTGAAGTCCTGGTTCTAACACCTGTTACCTTATAAATGACCTTATAACTGATGAGGATGATAAATTCTCACACTGCAGGGCACAAGCTGGTAACCGTCCCAAGTGCAGAAGAAATCCACTCTTTTTTCCTTTTATTCTCAAGCAGCAAAGCAAAGTACAATGGAGAGGGACTGATGGGGTAATTTACACTTTGAAGTAGCCAGCAAACCTGCTAAGCACCAACAGACCTGGGCACAAATAGGAATGTACTGGTCTGTTGAACAGTTTAGGCTGATGGTCTCTGAAGAGTTCACTTCTTCTGACAGAGAGCCCCTCAGGAAACTGAAGCAGGGTCAGGCTTTGAGGATGGAAAAACAGAGTGCTCTGTTCAGGCAGTATAACCTTTGCACCTAGAACTAAACAGCCAGCAATATTTTGACCTGACCACAGACTTCTGTTGGGTTTACAACTTTGTTTTTTGAACAGATGTAGCCAACCTTAAATCTTGCAAAGCACTTGCACTCAGCAACCCCTTCTCTGGTTTGGAAGACAGAGTATGCATTTTACAGTATGAGTTGCTAGGTTCAGTGAATGCAACAGATACACCTAAAATGTGAAGTATAACATACCACCAGGAAAGCTGTTTTCACCTTGATTCATTTTGGAACAATCTCAGGACACAAATCCAATGCAAAATGTGATGCACCGTACCACCGAGAGCTGCCGTTCTGCTTTAGTTTCGAGATGAGGACACAGCCGCAGTTCAGCACACACATGGAAAACAGCATTCATAGCAAGTTTTGTCTTTTTGTTCCACTTCAGCTATGCTCTCCATCCTCCTGCCTGGCAGGCAGGATGATGGTGTGAGAAGAGGCTAAAGACAAACCCCTCATTTATCCCTGCTTTCTGCAGGGCAGACAGAATTGTTCACACTCCCACGCCAAAAACTACTTAGCATGGTTGGGCAAACAGCAAAGGGGCCAGTGCATGCAAATCAGCAGCTGGTTTCCAAACACCCAGGGACAGATGCATCATCACTGGCAGCATCAGGGAAGCCAGCTCAAGTCTGTAGCTACTGTGAGCCTTTAGTGGGAAAATGATGCTGGGGAAGTTCAGAACACTTGAATGTCTCCTATCAAGTAACTCTTTAGGAACTGATGCTCTCTTTCTTTGTTATTAATAAAATTTTTCCTTGTTAGCTGTAAAGC